GAGTTCAAAACTTTTGTTGTATCTATACTTTGAAGTTCGTTACATACTATAAGTTTCATATTCTCTATTGAAGAGTTAAATTTACCGCAGATGTTTTCTAAGTTTGTCATATTAGGGTTCGAATAGCCCTCTAACAGTTTGCACAAAATATCTGTAAAGAAAGTGTTCTTACCAGTTCCTTGTTTTCCAATTATAATGAGAGCAGTTTCATTTTTAGCACTTGGATATTGTAAGATGTTTGCAAACCAACATAAGATATACTCATAGACTCTTTCGTTTCCATTGCATATAATTTCTTTGACATGGTCTAACCAAGCTTCTATAACATTTTCTTTCCATTCTACTTGTTCGTATTTATATCCAGTGAAGATAGAATAGAAGTTTGGAGAAGGTGTATAGAACTTTATACCACGAACTGAAAAATCTTCTAACTTTGACAATAAGATATCCCAAGCATCTAACATCTTCATACCAACTTGTACGACTTTTATTTTCTTAAGTTTCTGTTTACATTCTTGTTCTGAAACTATTGTCGCTCTTGGTTTGTTAAAGACAACATCCCATTCTTTCATGACATAACATTCTGGGGCAGAGTCAACATAAATGACTAAACGTTTCAAATTCTCGACTGCTTTGTTATAGTCTCGAAATGGACACATATTTCTGAATGCTTGGAAGTCATAAAAATCTGAAACATCTATTCTGTACATTTTTATAAAAATAAAAAAAATATTTTTTTAAAAAACGTTTTAAAATGGTATGCCATATAGCTTCTTGAATTTGTTAAGAAGTATATGAACGTGTTTTCCATCTGTATCTCTAGTGTTTACATAAGCATAGTCATCCTTAGTAAAATATACTTGTAATTTTCTATAGTTTACACCGGTATAAAAGTAGAAAGAGTCTTGTTCTTCGCTATAGTAGTAAAACTCAAGCGTATGCTTGCCATAGTCTGTAATTTCAATTGCTTCATCTTCTAGTTCGTCGACAAATTCGAATACAATATCTCCAAATTTGCCTCTGTTCTTATTGTTTTCAGAAAGAGTGACCCAACGTAAATTTTCAAGTCTATTGTCGTTTCTTATACGGTTTATGTGGTCTACAAGAGGTAAATTGTTAGGATTCGTATAAAATGAGTTGCAATGACAATATGTTTAAAATAGTTTTTTCCACCCATCCTCATCATAGCATATCCGTCATTTCGCTCCCATCCGCTTAAAACTCTTTTTGTCTTTTTGTTTCTGACTTCAAATGACTCACAACAGTGAATTTCATATTTCTCATCTAACAAACAAGTTTCCCAACGGTCTTCTCCAACAAACTCAGCGTACATTTCAAATAAAATAAAAAAAATATATTTTTTATTCTTGAGCTATTTTTTATTCTTGAGCTATTTGTTGCATTTGTTCCATTTGTTGCATTTGTTGTTGAAGTTGTTCTTGTAATACAATACTTTCACCAGTTGCATCTTCCAATTCGAAACTTTCTGCCGTCATTGACAAATACATAGGACATAAAAGTTTTACAGGAACAAAGTTTGCGTCGACTAAGGTTAAGTTTATGTTTGCTAAAGTGTTTGAGTTTACTAAAGCTGAAAATTCTGCATTCGAATGAACAATAGGCAAACCAGCAGAGAAAGTGTTGTTTATACGCATGAGTATCTTTTGGTCATAGTAGTTTCTGTCGACATTCGAATAGCACTTTGAACCTAAGTTTGAAACAATATATAAAATAGGTGTACTTAAAGTCAATGGAACAGACAAACCTTTATGACACCTTTTCCTGTTATAGGAAACTGTTGGTAGTAAAAAACCAGATATAAGTTTTGTATTATAGCTCATATCGTTTATACTAAACTCGGTCGCGACATCCAAACATAATGAAACCTGCTCTAGTTGCAGCACATGTTACATCCGTCCTTAAAGTATTAAATAAGTCAACAAAACCTGTTGGTGGTATATCTGAGTAAGTATCTTCAAAGAAGTATTTTTTACCATTCACAACAACAAAGTCTTCTGGTGTCAAAAGAGCAAAACAGGCTTTAGTCGTCATCGTGTTTAAAGTTAGTTTACAATATCGTCCTTGAGGACTTTGTAAGTTTTTGTTATAGAATTATATGACTCAGGTTTTTAGTCGTAATAGTATAAACCACTATGTCTTCTGCCATTTACTTAGCAAGTAAATTTTAATGAAATGTTGGGTCGTCAAATATTTTTATGACGTCTGGGAAACTATATTTTAAGTTCAACGTTTCACCTCCTTTCATAACGTATATCTTGTCAATGACATTATATGAAACACCACAGCAACTAATGTCGGGTTCTATTTCTTTGATGTTTATATCGTCTGCCTCTGTCAAAAGTTTCAATAGTTCTTTCAAAATTTCATGAGGTGCGATGACATATGAGTTCACTTTTACAGGGTTGTGTTCGACCAAGTTTAACATTATACCCAAAGCCTGACAAATCTTCTCCTGAGTTTTAAGTTTGTCTTTAAGTTGTTGGTAGTCGTTTCGAATATCTGCAACAGAACTTAAGTCTCTGCTAACTTCAGGATATGTTGGTTGTTCTTTTACAGGAACTATTGTTATACCATCTTCGTCTTCGTATGGTTTCCCACTTCAACATCTCTTTCTTTGACATTGACAACAACACTTTGACTGTTTGTTTGAGTTGGTGAATTTAACTTCACATCTGCCACCGCCATTAAACCTTTTGAAACACTCACGCTTCTATTTTTCGGAAATGACATTTTACTTAGAATAAAAAGATGGACGTATTTGAGTATCTCTTCGAATTGAAGCAAAACAAAGTTTACACACACAAACAATACAAGTTCATTGACAGAGTAGTTCTTTACACAAACAATGGAAAATGTTATAGAATAGCAGTCTTTGCTGAACCAAAATATTTTCATAAAGCAAAGAAAGTTGGTATAACTGAAATGGTGAAAGTTCTTGACGTTGACAAAAATATAACAACAAAACTGACCGATATTTCTAAAGGTAAGTTTATAATACAATTTTATGTCAAAACTGGCGTACTGTCAATATTTGACGGAGAGAAGTCAGTTCAAGAACAACTTACTGACCTGCTGCCAAAATCTGCTCGATGGAAGCTGTCGTTATACCAATCTGAGGAGCCCCAGCAGGTTTCATCGAACGAATCTTCAAAAGAGCATCTTCCGTGAAAAGTGCTATTGGTTTTGTAAACTTCTTTGCTTTCAATTCATTTGGACCGTCTCTGTCACCAGTATATTGTATTTGTACAGTACCAACAGTTGAAATACCACCCATAAAGTCTTCTGAGTCAGCAAATGGAATGCCAAGCCAAAAGTTTGAACGGTCTCCATTTGTATATTGAGTTTTTTGACCTCCTGTATGAGTCCATACTTTCACATATGGCATAATAGAACTTTGCATTTCAGGGTTAATGGTTGTTGTGAAGTTGTTGTTAAAGTTCATAGCATCTAATGTCAAGTTGTATGACCTCATATCCTCAACTGTAGAATATTCTTCTCTTGGATAATATTTGCCATCTATGTTTATATGATATTTAATACCAGGGTTGTAGAAACAAGAATAGTCATTTATAGTTCGTCTGAACAGTACAAACATAGTATCTGCATGTTTCATTGCAGTTGTTAAAGCAATATCTGTTCTTGCACCTGGGTCAGCACTTTGGTTTCCAACTTCACCTGCAAAGTCTTTGACAGATATTTGGTGTATAGGGAACATAAGTGGAACTGCAATATATTTGGCAGCTAAAGCATTTGAAATATCTGGGTCCAACATATAGACTGCAAGTCTGCTTTCTATTCTCTTGCATTCAAATTTTTCGCATGTGAACTTAACTGGGTCCCAAGCAGTTCCAGCAGCATTGAAATAGTAGTTTACTTCAGTGTTGAAGTTTGAGAAACCAAAGTCTAAGTCAACTTTGTCTTTGCAAAATTCGGCGAATGACGTTTGATTTGTTCCCTTTACGTCTGTAAGAGTGAATGGGTCTTGTGTTGGTGCAATGACTAAGTTATTTTTGCTTGGAGTAAGTTCGATAGAAATTTTTCCTGCCCAGTTTGGCAAGTATCTTAAAAAACCTGAAGATGAGGAAAGATGACAAAGGAACTCTAAGTTTCAGTTTTACTTTGGTTACTGCTGCTGCAGTTTGTCCAGAAAGGTCAACATAAACTCCTGGAACGTTAGGGTCAAGTCTTCTTATTTTCTCAATAGTTGCATACTGGTCTGTTTGTTCTCTAGCTTGTGGTTGTACTGAGTTTCTCAAAGCGAACCATTCATAGTTTGCCCATGTTACTGTTTGAACTAAGTCAGAGTTAGAATATATCTTATATCCATAAAAACTTCTGGAGCATATTGGTATCCGACATAGAAAATTCCATTGCAACCTTTCTTGTCAGACAACTTGGCAGAAGGTTTTATTTCAATGTCTTGTTCCACGTATAAGAAAGAGTTGTCAATAGAAATTATATGAAACCTGTCGCAAGCAATATCTACTGTTGTTGAAGAACCTTCTCCAAACTCACCTACGTTTCCATAAGAAACAGCAGTTGTATATTCGTAAGTTCCAGGAACTATTTCTGACCTTCTAATGGCATTGTCGCATTCGTTATACCATTCGGAAACATTTCCATTCATAGCATCCAAAACTGTTGGCGTTATATTCTGAGCGGCGTACATTTCATATGAGTAAAAATATAGAATAGTTGGATTTATATGTCATAATAGAACCCACGTGGACCAAGCTTTACTTTCTTCCTGACTGAGTTTTTAACTCTTCTTTTTCCTTCATTGCCCTCTGCTTGAAGTTGTTGCATCTTTGCATTATGTTCATCTAGTATGTTGCAAATTTCCCATGTCCTTTTTGCCTTTTTGGCTCTGGTCGCCCATCTCAGGTAACCTATATCCTAGAAAGAGTTTGTCATAGTTTGTATTTGAGTCGTCGCTTATTGTTTGCATGACTCTGTCCTGAGTTTCTGGTTCAAGCTCTTCAAACAGTGCCTGTCCATATGGAATAAGCTCGTTTCCAAATATATGTTTTTGTAGCCATTCTTTTTCTTTCCATGTTACCAACTATATCTTTTGTGAATGGGAAAGCTTTTACCCAATCTTTCAGTCTTGCGTCGTTTATTTCTGTAGTTGGTTTTATTTTGTCAAGGAACATGTTTTTCAATACTAACATTTCATTTGGTACTGTCCATTTGAGTTTTCTTAAATATTCATCCCTTCTCGGTTCATTGTCTGCAAAGTAAGTTTTTATGACATTTTGTAAACTTTCGTTTGCAAGGTCATGTACAATAGGTTCTCTTCCTTCTCTCTCCATAACTTTCTTTCTAAACTCTTCACCAAATATACCATCTCTATGGTTCTGTGTAGTTCTTTGAGATAAATGTTCTAGAACGTCAGGTGTTATATTTCCATCAGCCATGTTCATTTCATACTGGTCCAAAATATCTGCATGTTTCATATCTTTCAATGGCATTAAAGCCGCGCTGAAAATACCAGCTATATCTGGTTCACCATTGACTTCCATTGCGTCTACAACTTCTTGGAATTGTGGTTGTAAGTTTATGAACCACCTATCTGGATTAGCTTTATGACCCCATCTCATTGTAGTTCCATCGTCTGCAGAAACAAAAGTAGGTTTGTTTCCATCTTGGCTAGGTTCTGAATGAACTTTAAACAATGTTTCATTTCTATATGTTTTCTTGAAATTTAACCTTTTATCTTCACCGAGTTCATCGAAGATTGAACGTTAAATGCTCGTAAGTAAAAAGGGTTGTTGTATTGTGTACATTTTTTTTCAGTTCTTCCATTCTATGCTGAATATTTTCATCTGGTGCTGGAGTCTTTTGTATGTCGGCAAACATTTTTCGATATTCTTCTACTATGTCAGCCGAATTTTTTTTAGACTCTTGGAAATATTCCATATTCTCCGCATACTCTTGTTGAGGGTCAAGATTTTTCGGCTGTTCCAAATCTTCATCTAGTTCTGTGAAGTTAGTTTCCAAAGGAGTGACTTGTTCGTTTCCTTCAGGCTCTTCTAGCTGTTGTTGCTGAACTATTTCTTCCATGTCTGGTTGTATCTGAACTATTTCTTCCTGTGGAGTTTCTTGTACCTCATCTGCTGGCATTTCATATATTCCGAGACCGTTTTTAACAATTTCCCTATCTACGTCATTCCGCATTCATAAGCTTTTGTTCTTTCGTTCCGTCTCTATTTTTTACGCGTTTCATGACGAAAGTTGAATTGTCATTTAGCTCTGACATCAAATATCTCGGAGTAAATTCATCCATGTCATTTGGATGATATGCTATTAAATCATATCCCTTAGCGAGCTTGTATTTTCCAGGTTTGAGATTATATCCGTTTTGGTGCTGAGCCATAAAGCTAAATAGGTTCGGGTCAGTATTTCCATCCTTGAACTTTCCAATAGCTTCTTTATATCTGTCACTAAAGTCAACAGTATCTGGGAAACCACACTCTTCTTTAAGCATTTTTAAGAATTCTTGGTTTCCTTGTTCTCTACTTCTTTTATGTCCTTGCTCTGTTTGTGGTTGTTGTTGTGCAGGGTTTTGAACTGTTGGTTGTGGTGCTGGTTGTGGAGGTGGTTGTTGTGCTGGTTGTGGAGGTGGTTGTTGTGCTGGTTGTTGTGTTGGTTTTGGTGCATGCCTGTGTCTGTGTCCATGTGACGATGTAAATGTGTTAGGTAGTCCTGGTGCAGGTGCTTCTCTTGGAGGGTTTGGTGGTATATAAGTTCCACCAGCTGGCACATATGTTCCATCTGCAGCGTAATGTCCTACCTGACTTTTCGTTTTTAAGAAAGCATTTACTAGGTCTGTTTTGGTCTGTTGTAACTCTTTTTCTTGACTTTCCACAACAGTTGTTCTAACGGCGTCATAGGCACTTTGAACTGCCTGTCTCGTTGCTGCATCTGTTATTTTCGTCATATTTTGTGCTACTTCTCTTAACTCGTTGTCGAAACCTTCAGACTTCAGTTTCTTTCCAGATGAGAAGTCGTTCACTTGTTTCACCTTACTATGAAGAGCTTCGAAGGCGTTCTTAAAGTCAGCATTTGTTAAAGCTTCATTTGAACTATCTTCATCCGCTTGTATTTTTGTCCTTATTGACCCTATAAGCTGGGCTGCTTTAGCGTTGGCTTGGGCATCTAACCAGTCATTGTTAGCTTTTATATATTCTGCGCTTTCATTGCCTTTTGCATGGCTGCGTCGTTATTTTTACTTTCTTGTGCTAAGTTTTCATACTGTACGGTTTGGTTTTGCAACTGTAAAAGTTTTTCTGCCTTTACATTTGCTTCAACTTCTTTTTTATACTCATCGCTATCCATATATGTCTTCAGGGCTTTTTGTTTTATTTCTTCATCTTTCAGTACTTTATATCGAGTAGTATGGTTTTTTCAAATTTATGACATCTTGTTCCATTTTTGCTACTTCTGCTGCTTTTTCTGACACTTTTTTTGCATATTCCTCTGTACTTAGTTCTTTCAGTTGTTCTTCTTTCTTCTTTTCTCTACGTTTAACTCATTTAGTTTCTTTGTGTGTCTGTCATATTCTAGTTTCTTTTCGTTTTCACTTATTTGCTTCTGTATGTCTATGTTTGACTTTTTGACATCTGTTATTTGATTTTTGAGTGAACTCAAATTCATTTGACTTTGAGGGTTATAGGCTGTTCCGTCTGCAGCTCCACCATAGCCTGCCATTTTCGCTAAAAGTGCCGCTCTTAAACCTCCACTCTGTGCACCAAAAACTCGGTTTAAAAGCATAGGATTGCTTGACATTTGTTGCAACATAGTGGGGTCATTCAGCATTTGTTGTTGCAACTGTTGTTGTGGTGTCAGTTTTACTATTGGATGTTTCAATGCTCTCTTCCTCTTACGTATATTCTTACGTAGCTTACGTGGCATTTTAAGTGAAGTTAAAAAGCGGTTTTTGACAGATGTTTTATTGAGACTTCTTCGTAAAGACTTTGTTGAGACTTCTTCGTAAATGAGTGTAAATGACCCAAAATATATATTTTAGGGTAGAAGGGTATATCTACCCCGTTTTCTACCCTCTTTTCTACCCTCTTGAATTTTCATGAATTTCTTCGTAAAGACTTTGTCAAGACTTCTTCGTAAAGACTTTGTTAAGACTTCTTCGTAAAGACTTTGTTGAGACTTCTTCGTAAAGACTTTGTTGAGACTTCTTCGTAAAGACTTTGTCAAGACTTCATCGTAAAGACTTTGTTGAGATTTCTTCGTAAATGACCCTAGTAGTATATTTTTGTGTAAATTTCATGAAAATTCAAGAGGTAGAAAAGAGGTAGAAAACGGGGTAGATAGATATACCCTTCTACCCTAAAATATATTTTTGGTGTAAATTTCATGAAAATTCAAGAGGGTAGAAATGAGGGTAGAAAACGGGGTAGATATACCCTTCTACCCTAAAATATATTTTTGGTGTAAATTTCATGAAAATTCAAGAGGGTAGAAATGAGGGTAGAAAACGGGGTAGATATACCCTTCTACCCTAAAATATATTTTTGTCTGATTTTACGAAGAAGTCTTGACAAAACATTTACGAAGAAGTCTTGACAAAACATTTACGAAGAAGTCTTGACAAAACATGAAAACATATATAATTTGTGAAAAGCTCCTGGAAGACCTCCGAATAAAAACTTCATTTATGTGGGCTAGAGGGCGCAACGCGCCTGGAAGCCCTCCGAATAAAAACTTCATTTATACTAAACATCTTCAGGGCTAGAAGGCACGAAGTGCCTGGAAGCCCCACTGCCTTTTTTTTTTTTTTTTTTTTTTTTTTTTTTTTTTTTTTTTTTTTTTTTTTTTTTTTTTTTTTTTTTTTTTTTTTTTTTTTTTTTTTTTTTTTTTTTTTTTTTTTTTTTTTTTTTTTTTTTTTTTTTTTTTTTTTTTTTTTTTTTTTTTTTTTTTTTTTTTTTTTTTTTTTTTTTTTTTTTTTTTTTTTTTTTTTTTTTTTTTTTTTTTTTTTTTTTTTTTTTTTTTTAATTTGGATTATAAATAAATAGGCTAATACAATATTTAAAAATGAGAAAAAATAACTTTTCAAAGAACTTTTCATAATCTCAAAGAAAATTTTTTATTCAATAATTATATAAATTAATTAACATTCATAATGGAATTGGATTTTTTTTATAAAAAATTGGTCCTACTTAACTTTTTGAGAGAATTTGGCTTTTCATTTTTTATTATGAGTAGTGTAATAAACAGAAATTCATCAAAAGTGACAGCTCTCAATTTTTTGACATTTGTAAATTCTAAATTGAATGAGAAAAATGAAATAATACTAAGCATAATACAATATTCTAGTTTTAATTATAATTAGGAAAAAGTTAGTTTTGAGAGTACTTTTCATAGGCATATAGAATGAAATCTTCTGAAAAATAATATCACATAAACTCATATTATTTTCTAATATATAACTATTTTATATAAAAATCAAATTCAATGATCTTAAAAGCGAAGGATAAACCTCAAAATTTACGAATATAATGAGTGGGAATATAATGCTTATCTATCATAAAACCATATGAAATATCAATTTTTGCTTTACGCCTAATTTTTGACGACAATTAGCAAAAAATGTTAAATGTTAAGAGGGGGCACAAACTTGCCCAGCGAGGTGAAGTGAAAAGTGATGGGTTTACATGTCAGAAATGTAAACTGTTAGATTTGAAACAAAAAATGGATTATTTTATTACCCAGATTTGCCTTACTTTTACCACCCCTCTAAAGCTGGGGACACCGCCTATCGTTGGGAGTAGCTATTAAATAGAACCACCAAGGGTATTTTTCGAACTTTCGTTGTAGTGTAGTGGAAACATCCGACATAAGGATTAATTATGCCAAGGTTTGATTCCCATTTAGCAAATTTTTTCTTTTTTGGATCATGAATTTTTTTTTGGTCACTATAAGATTTGTTTCATGTTCTAAATCTGCTGCATATGTAATCTATTTTTATTTACCTATTTTTAAAAATCTATTGGATTGCCAAATTTGAATCTATTTAAAATCATAAAAATCCAAAAAAACTATAAATATATGTTTTATGCATAGTGCCGATACTCAAATATCAGATTACTTAGATCCATGAATAATATCCGAATTTTTTTTCTTAAAATTAAACTTCAAAACTTCTTGCAATCTTATTCTTAATCAATTGTAAATTTTTAAAACCATTTTTTTAAAATAATTTTGCGTAAATTTTATTCTCATGTTGTTTTAATCGAAAATTGATACATTTTCAAAAAAATAATATTGACTTATGAAATTCATTTTTAAGGTGAAATAGTATTGTTTTTATTAAAGTATATGAATAATATATAAAAAATTAATGAATAATATAAGCAGATTTTTAGTTTACAAAAACAAATATGAGCAATGCAATTTCAAACTTTTGCTGGCAATTTCGATATTGCTCAAGTTTGTAGTATTTGTGATACCTATAACATCGGCTTAATCAAAATTCGATTTTTCTTATGAGTTATTGAGAAAATTT